GAGGAGGAGGAGGAACAGTGTGAGGAGGAGAAGGAACAGTGTGAGGAGGAGAAGGAACAGTGTGAGGAAGAGGAACAGTGTGAGGAGGAGGAGGAACAGTGTGAGGAGGAGGAGGAACAGTGTGAGGAGGAGAAGGAACAGTGTGAGGAGGAGGAACAGTGTGAGGAGGAGGAGGAACAGTGTGAGCTTCAGGATGTCTGAATAATAAATGTTCTGTATGCTTCAGACTGTGACTCAGCAGCTCAGTAACAGTAAAGCTCTCCTGCAGACTGCTGACTGTTGGTATGTGCTGCTTTCATGGACGCTCGCAAGCTTATGGGACTGTTGGGACTGACGGAGGGTGAGGCTGGGATTCAGAGGATAAACTCTGAGCAACAAAAACAGCTGAGGGCTTAGAGCAGACACAGATCTGAGAGCAGTTGTTATAAAACAGCTGTGTCATGCTCCCATGTCTGCAGGACAGGTGGAGTTTCCATTACGGCCAGACGTCCTCCACCTCAGAGCAGAGAGCTGCTCTCTGGAGGGAAACACTGAGAGCAGCTCGTCAGCACTGTTCTCAATAAATCCTTCATGTTCTGCTGATATCACAGCGTCATGCTGGAATTAATGTGGTCATAAATATCACAGTAACCGATATTCTCACAGTCATCATCAAACTTTCCACATGTACAACTATCACAGCTGGAATACAGTGAACAGACCTCACACCAAGTCGGCCTGGAAGTTATTAGAGCTGACATCAAGTATTATAGTTAAAACACCAGGAACAGCAGCAGGCTGCTGCAGGCTGACTGGGATTAGCTCTGAGTGCAGCTCAGCGTCTGTCTTTACAATTTAAAGCACATCCTCATGTTTTCATACATGAAGTGACTTCTTTTAAATGTGTCAGTGGTTCATTTGTAAAAGCATGAATGAGAGATCATGACACAGACAGAACACCGCCACCTGCTGGAACATACAGGAACACATCTGGACTGTATCTGACTCATCATCTCTTTACACAACACGTACACAAGCTCGACATGATTCACATTACAATAAACAACTCTGTGATCTGACAGAAAAACTTCACTTCAACTTTGTGTTTCTCTTCACCGTGAATGGAGAATCCAAAAACGGAGGACAATATTGATGAACTAAAGTAAACAGGGACGAACTTAAACAACAGCGAAACTACATCAACACATCTGTTTACAGCTGTCACACAGCTGGTGCAGAATAATCAGAGACTCATTTATCCAGGACTTTATAAACACATTAACGTCTCACTAAAATGAATAATAAATAAGTTTAAATAACTCCTACCCTTCCAGCAGCGCCCGAAGCATGGCTGGGCTTCATGTGTGACCTCCTGACCTGAGTGTTTTCAGCTTGAGAGGCTAAAAACAGAAAAGGTTTGTCATTTTTGCCTGATAGTTAGTCAACTGGCAAAGTAGTTGTCAAAAAAATCTGAGAGAAACTCATCAATTAATCATTTTACCTCTTTATTTATTCATTTCTACACTGTAGCCAAAGCAGACAGGAGCCACGTGCTCAACTTGTCTTTAAACCTTTAGGTGAAGTCTGTTTAATTCAAAGCAGGGGCGTTTCTCAGCCACACACACAACCAACAGATCCCAGATTTTAACAGTGAAACATTACAGTGTGACTCTACAGTATGTGAACAGCTCAGGACATGCTGCTACACCACTGACAGAGTTACGCAACACACACACACACACACACACACACATACACGTACACACACACACACACACACACACACACACACACACACACATGGCCGCAGGGAAAACTGAGGAACCACATCAAGAAAATCACAGACAGTTTCACAGGAGGAGCTGAAAGTCACACCTTCAGGACATTTACATCCTTCTTCCCTCCCTTACATCCTCCTTACATCCTTCTTCCCTCCTTTACATCCTCCTTACATCCTTCTTCCCTCCTTTACATCCTTCCTCCCTCCTTTACCTCCTTCTTCCCTCTCTTACATCCTTCTTCCCTCCCTTACATCCTCCTTACATCCTTCTTCCCTCCTTTACATCCTTCCTCCCTCCTTTACCTCCTTCTTCCCTCTCTTACATCCTTCTTCCCTCCCTTACATCCTTTTTACATCCTTCTTCCCTCCTTTACATCCTTCCTCCCTCCTTTACCTCCTTCTTCCCTCTCTTACATCCTTCTTCCCTCCGTTACATCCTTTTTCCCTCCTTTACCTCCTTCTTCCCTCTCTTACATCCTTCTTCCCTCCGTTACATCCTCCTTACATCCTTCTTCCCTCCTTTACATCCTTCCTCCCTCCTTTACCTCCTTCATCCCTCTCTTACATCCTTCTTCCCTCCGTTACATCCTTTTTCCCTCCTTTACATCCTCCTTACATCCTTCCTCCCTCCTTTACATCCTTCTTCCCTCCCTTACATCCTCCTTACATCCTTCTTCCCTCCTTTACATCCTCCTTACATCCTTCCTCCCTCCCTTACATCCTTCTTCCCTCCACAGTCTTCTTGTTATGTAACTGATATATTATTTGCTGTGATGTTACATTCATATTTTTCACCTCCCTCTCAGCTGACTGTTTCACAGCAGTAAGCCATCATTAACATTAGCTAACTGACTCACCTACGGCTCAGCTACTTGTTATTATTTCAGTCAGAACAGATTGTCTTCTGACCCAGTCAAACTCAAAGCTAACGTTAACTCAAGCTAACTGAATCACGGACTCCTCTGATGACAGAACTAATGTTCAAAGTCAGTTAGCTAGTTACCGTTAGCTAAACCGCCAAAACCGTTAGCTACTGGCTAAAGTAAAGACAGGTTACTGACGGGACTCAGCGGCAGACGACATGTTAAACACTTACATGTAATCATCCACTGAACTACCTGGCTGACGTTAACGTCACCTACCTGACGAGGAAACAGTAATAACACGTGATAACCGCTGTCAGCTGACGGTAGCGTTAAATGAAGATGCTAACTCGCTAACCAGGCTAATGTACATTGCCACAGCAGTGACACATAAACAGACAGGTTGACTCAAACTGTCTCACAACTAACGTTAACTGCTCACTTAAATAATGGAAAGAAGAGTTAGCTTAGCATTAATGACAGGCATTGACTCACCCAACAACTGTCAGCGGTTTATTAGCCGACGGTGCTAACATACTAGCTAAGCTAACAGGTGCAGAAGGAGGTAAACTAAAGATAATACACCTGTACAGGTGTTGTGTTCACACTCACCTCTGTCCTGCAGATATGTACACACTCTCCAAAGTGTCTCAGTCCGGCAGGAACACAGAGTCCAAACTGAGATCAGTATTTAATCCTGTTTTCTTCAGCTCTGACTCATCCAGCCGGTAACGTTAATTTTCTGAATTCATCTGTGTTGATATAACTCTCCGTTACTTCATATTTTATTCATAACAACCAACAGCACGTTCATCTTTTTCAAACGGCATACGTTTAAAGTACTTCACGTCACTTCCGGCCGCCATCTTTGGTCCTTTTCTTTTTAATTGATGATATTTTACAGCACGTTGTACAGAGAAATACTGTATATGATTAATATGATAACACTAAACATGATCATTTAAACACCACATATCAAACAACAGAATTAAACACAGACAAAAAAACTAATACAATGTTAAACTGTATGAATTGTGAACCTGGACATAATACACCATATTTGTTTTTTATACTTTTCCCGATTGTTTGATGACTGCAGGATTTAAGTCTGTAAAATAACTCAGCAGTAAAGACATCAGTTCAAACTGAACGTGACTGAACGACTGGTATGTGTCAGCTGATGTTGTTCACTGCTGTTGAGGTGAAGCACAGTAACAATGAGTCATGTGACAAATATGTGTTTATCAGTGTGTTGGTTCTGCTGTTGCTACATGCTGTGTTTTCTTCAGGCCGGCTGGTATGTGATGGTTTAAAAAACCAGTGTGACCACACCTGTTCAACATCAGCAGGCTCTGTGCAGGTGAACTGCTGTCGCACCATCACACACTATTTATAGTTTTGTCCTCTTTGACCTTTGTTAACTGATACACGTCTCCCTCAGGACGTGTTGTCCACATCCTGTCACAGTGGTTAAAGTCAGACCCCCACCTGGACACCAGCCTGGTGCAGGTGTAGTCTGCCACCTTAGTTACCATGGTAACATAGCTTGTTTTGAACCATCATGCCACCATGGTTAAACCATGAGTTCTAATCCTGCTTATTCTTCCTTAACACTGTCTGAAGATTATTACCACCACCCAGGACCTTATGATACCCTGCTTTGGGTTGTCTGTCTGTCAGCAGGCATGATTTTTATACAACATAGTGGAGGGTTGAAGCACAGGCCCCCATGCCTAATGAAGACCCCCGTTACATTTTTGAGTGGATCTCAATCAGAGAGCAGATCGACAATTTATTTTTCATTTTCATTAACATTCTCTCTGTTGGCACTGTACGTTTCTGCAAACTGTAAACACCTTGCATTTGTATGTTACATACATATCACATCAGTGTCTCGTAAGTGACGTAGTATCTGAGCTGACTGTCATCAGGAGGTGGAGTGGATGGTGGCTGGTGTGACACCTTGGGGAGACACCTGTTGAGCTGCAGACACAGTTCAACACCAACTAACTGCAAAATGGTTTGTTTTTTATGAAGTCGTCGCTGTATTTCCAGAAGCTTTTAAGCCATCAAACGTGGATGTTTGTTAGTGACCTGTTACTGTCTTTCTAGCGGGGATAGTGCCACAAAAAGCTGTTGTTTTTTTTACTGAGACATTTCCAGCAGGGATTGTGCCTCCAAAACAAAGTATTTTAAGCCCAAACATGATCTTTTCTAAACATAACCACATAAAATGTTTGCAAAATGGTTATGGTCAGAAAAAGATCATGTTTGGGCTTAAAATACTTATTTTGGAGGCAAAACACCCAGTCCTGAGGGCTAAAAAGCTGCTAAAAAAACAGCCATGGGTCGATAAAAAATACCCACGTGTAGGGGCTTAAAAGCTGCCAGACAAACAGCGACGAATCAATAAAATCCCACAGTTTCTGTAGTTTGTTGGTGTTGAACAGTGTCTGCAGCTTGGCAGGCTGATACACCAACGTGTCACACGTCCACCATCCCCTCCACCTGCTGACGACTCAGCTCAGATACTTCGTCACTTTAGAAACACTGATTTGATATGACGTGTAGAAATGTGACATATTTGTGGTTTGCAGAAATGTACAATGCCAACATTCTCAGAGACTGGGTTGACCCCACAGTTTGTTGAGCTGGTTCACACTAAAGCAGGAAGCAGTAAAAACACAGTCAGCCGAGTTCATTCAGAAAAACACACCTCACGTTTATTGACTTGTAGTTCTCTGGGCAGAAGCCGACGCTGACAGATATTTGGCACAAAGACAGATTAGTTTCATTCGATTTTCCACACGACGACCTGAATCACAGACGAGACAAAGACAGCAGCACATTCCTGTGTCTGTGTGTTCAAATACAGAGTGATTAAAGAGCCACACTGACGCCGACAGCTGGATGAAACACATTCAGGTCTCTGTGGTGGAACCAGACGGTTAACCCCTCCTCACGACTGGTCTGGTGTCATTTCAAGTATCTCATGAGCAGAACAGCCTCTGTGCAAGCAGCGGCATGTTTCTGTCTGTTGTTTCAGTCACTGCTGCACAAAGAGGCCACGACAAAGACACAACACACAAACAGCCTGCTGCACCAGCTCAACATTCACTCCACCCACAAATCAATACTCAAGTTCATCAGGAGGTTAAAGCCACAGCAGCTAACAGGGCTAACAGAGCTAACGGGGCTAACAGGGCTAACAGAGCTAACGGGGCTAACAGGGCTAACAGAGCTAACGGGGCTAACAGGGCTAACAGGGCTAACAAAGCTAACGGGGCTAACAGGGCTAACAGAGCTAACAGAGCCGTTTGAGGCCGCAGTGACTTGTGGAGGGATGGGGAGGATGGACTCTTATTGCTGCAGAAACAGAGCTCTGAAAACAAAACACTGATCATTATATTATACAGCATTCTGAATTTCTTTACACAGGGAAGGACTTCTTCATAGGTACATGCTACTCTGTGACGCGTTCACGTCATGTGGAATTTTTTAGAATCAGCGTATTCCATCCAAGTCACAATTAAGACTGGGAAGTTGGATTTTTCCTGACAGATCTGACTTCAAAATAAGGGTATGTACATTCAGTCATCTCTCCGCAAAGTGTTTCGACAGTGAGGTAGAGTTACTTTGAAATACGTGGAGCCAATATTTGTGTCTCTTATGTTTTGATACCAATATGAGTCAGATAATGAGACAGTGAGACTGTCAGAGAGCTAAATTCTACAGTACTGAGTCTGACAGCTGGAAGCAATCACAAACATCTTCTGTCCCACATGACCTGAACGCAACATGAGCAGTATTTTTCCTTTAAAGCTGGGGTAGGCAGTTTAGTTTTGGCATCATTTGGCAAAAATCCCATAATTACCTTTGATCGTATTGTAACTCACTGAGAGAAAACTTGACTCCTGCTCCTCCTCTTGTTTTCAGGAGACTCGGTCCAATCACAGGTAATTTCAGAGAGACAGCATTTCTATTGGCTGTACTACACAAGCAGATGGGCGTCAGGCTTTGAAGCCAATTTTCATGGTGGCCAAACAGTAGAATTACAGCTCCCTAGTCCGTCACGTGACACCCTGCAGCGCAGAAAAACTTTTTCCCAACGACTTACGTGGCAAAAGAGACGTGGATACATTTTTTTTAGCATCACAGCACCGCACTAGTTTAACCTTCTGCTAACTAGAGCTGAAGACTCATGTTTATGTAGCTAACGTTAGCTAGAGCCTCCAATCCCAGTGTGTACTCCGCCTCACTCTCCACCACCACAGACCACCTCGCTGGGAGGAGAGCAGGTAGCAGCTCCAGAGACTGACCTCCAGTCAAATCAAACCCCAGCTTTGAGGGACCAGACAGCCCCGCCTCCCCACCAGATCAGCAAACTTTCTGTTGCTGCTGTTACACAGGTTAGACCTGACACTGCTGCTGGACACCAGCTTACTGTGACACCTGGCACTGGAGGGTTTGAGCTGGCTGAATTTGAGCCGAAGCAGTCCCAGTGATGCGGAGGGAACGTGGGCGGAGCTAGCAGCTAATTCTTGTCTCATCTGTGGTCTGATAAACAGAGAGAGAGAGGGGTGCAGCGGCGCTGAAAGAATGAGATAAGATTAAACAAATCAGGTGGGAAACGCTGGGTGACTGTACGAAGCGCGGACAGAGAGGGAGGAGCTGCAGGAGGATTATTTAATTCTGATGATTTTTTCCGCCTTTATCAGATTTCTGCCTCCCCAGCTTTAACAGCATCAGCACAGGAATGTGTGATGTCATGATGTGAGCGTTGGACTGAGACACTGCGTCTGTCTATGATTGGTTGAATCGTGTGCGTGCAGTGACCTGCAGCAGCAGCGTGTGTGAAAGCAGCTCTGACATTAAGGTGAACACATTCTTTGGCAAAACAAGGCGACAGAGTGAAAGTAAAGAGATGTGCACAGCCTGCTGGAGGAGTAATACACCTACACACACACACACACACACACACACACACAGACACAGGACGATGGACACGCAGCAGAGTAAGGCAGTTATAGACAGATACACACTGTATAAATGTTCTTATGCTCCTTTTTACACACTTTGGTCGTTTAAAATAAACTCCTCTGTAGATCTAAGATATCTGCAGCTTTATAAAATACATTTCAGATTTAAATGAGAAGCTCTGATGGGATAAATACAGGTGAGAGGGTTCATCAGCTCAGAGTGAAGCAGGTGAGGCTCACTGTCAGCCTGACCTCCATTAAAGGATCATCATCACAACACATCGTACCGTGTGTCAGTAACATGTTTGAAATGAACAGTCATCGTCAGTCAGTTTCCCCCTCCAGCACATGATTGATTACATTGTATTGATTGTAGATATGATCAGTGCTACACTGTTTATCTTCTCCTATGACGACGTACAGACGAGCAGCAGTGTGAGGCTGATTCTGTCAGCGGGACGTGTCGGGCCGATGGACTCAACGACCGATAATATTTCCTCAAGTCTCTCTGACGATTAAAGTTACAGACAAAATGTCATCAGATGTATAAAATAAGGGTTAAAAAGACGTCACCTGTCTGTTGTGTGTGCATTAATCTTCCCTCGAGAGCTGGTGATGTAGAGCAGCAGTGATTGGACGAGAAGGTGACCTCTGACCCCTGCAGTCACATGTTAAAGATGTACTCTGCACCAGTTTCCTAAAAACACACTGATACAGCAGTAATCATCACTGATGACCTGCTCTCAGTGACAGGTGGGTGCTGGTTCCTTAATGACCTGTACCTACAGGAGCCAATCACAGCGCAGATTTTGATGCCTCATTTCTCATTTTAATGTCAGATTGTTTACATAGCAAATCTGCGCAGTAAAACAACATGTGTGTGTGTGTGTGTGTGTGTGTGTGTGTGTGTGTGTGACAGCGATGCTGCAGCGAGCCGAGCAGACAGAGTAAAGTTAAAGTGTGTGAACCGTTCACGTTGTTTGTCAATGAATAAATAATAAATGCTACAAGTTCCTGTTTGTCATCACCTGCTACGGTGACGGACGTTAGCCCTGAAGCTAGCCTCCCACTAGAAACTGACCAGGCTCATATAAGGTGGACTGTTAAGGTGGACCATGGTGATTTTTTATCATAGAGACGGTCTCAGCTGCTCCTAAAGAGTGAACACAGAAATGTCTGTCTGCAGAGTCTCTGCAGAGTTATTGGAGATCATTATTGATCCTGACACAAAATGTATGTTGCCATTATTAGCAGAGGTGGCTGCACGTCATACGTGTGCAAGTCTCAAGTCTCAAGTCTCAAGTCTTAAGTCCAGTTCAGACCAAAGATTGGTGACGAGATGAAACTGTTTTAGAACGTCACAGAGAAAAGTGTCAGCAGTGTGAACTGGCCCATCTGAGCTGGACTCAAACCAGCTGATGGTGTCACCTGACACTCAGCTGGTCAAATGGCCGGCGGCTGATTTTAAAGGGCCAGTGTGTAAAATGGGTTGAAAACAGTGACATCAGTGGTCAAATTCTAGATTGCAGGGCTCACTCGCTCACCCCTCCCATCAGGTAAATGACGGCGGCCTCGTAGGGACAAAAAGCCTTGCGCAGACACGAGTTTTTCAGGAGTAGGTCTATCTAGCGACAAGGTGAATGTTTATTTAGAAATCTAAACCATGTTACGATATTGTAATGAATCCCTCACGAGCAGGAGACCAGAGGAGCGTTCGGGAAAAAGGCCCGTTTATTAGAGCACTCCAGAAACTCTGGTAACACTCCAGAGGGTAAAAGACTCCGTCCCAAACTCTGACTCTTCTAGCGTAACAGACACACTTCATACACACATACTCGTTTACCATTCCGAGTGGGGACCCCCCTCCCTCTCTGCTCCACCAATCTCCAGCCCACACACTGACTGACAGCGTAGCCTGTAAACAGAGCTCAGCTGTTTATTTAGCCTAGTGATATCTCCGGACTATAGTAGCTGCAATGGACGACTTTGAACGCGATTTTGAAGAGTTTCTTGTAGCGGACACAGACCCAGAGCCATACCTGTTTGAGCCGGAGCATACAGATGAGGAACTCCATGTGTTTGATGCTGAGCGGGTGAGAAGAGAGGCTGAATGCACAGAATGGGATTCGGTGCTACTGCTACCAT